CATCAATAACGCTTTTTTTTAAAACCAGATAAACTAAAACTTTTTTCATATATTCGCTTGTTACCTTCTTTAATACACGTTAAATATTCAGACGATTTTTTTCAAAAAAGTTTTCTGATTTCTGCTCGATTTGCAATAAAAAGTTAAAAAAAAAAATTGTATAGTTTATCGTTTACTGTAATTTAAAAAATTTGTTGTTATCGTCATTAATCAAAATCTAAAATCAACCGTACATATCGAACCATCGGAACTATAAATTTGATTGAGTTTTAAACCGTAATTGATTTTTTGGCGACGCTTGGTTCGTGGACGTAAGAGAGATGCGGTGCATGATGGCAAATTAAGGAACTCGGATTTTATTGCATTATTAGGCATTTATTATATAAAAGAATGTAGGTTTATGTATTCTTTATTTAGAGACGATTTCAGAGAGCATTATTCGCTGATGAGCTAAGGGCAAGAGCAACCCTTTAAATACATTCTCATTTCTTATGAGTCTATATCATCTATGTTATAACTTTGAATCACACATGCTTTCCCACAGGCAACTCATTCTATCAAGTTTATGCGAGAGCGTATACGCTCCAAATATCGGTATACGCGACTAGGGGAAATTCACATGGGTTAAGCTACTAAGAAGACATGAGAATGTCTAATACTATAAAGGTAATATTAACATGGCTATGATGATACATTTATGGAAGGTATGTGACAACTTAACGTTAATGAATTAGATAAATACGGAAGTGAGAGACGCATCTTTTTAAACATATCAATATGTTTATCCCTGAGTCGGAATTACTACTTCAAGCATTAATCTCTGAATTATGACTACAGGTCATCATGCTACAAGTTATTACGTTAATATCACTTAGGAACGAAAGACGAATGAGCAAGTGAAAACATCAACAAAGGGAGTGAAAACGGAAAGACAAAAAAGGAGAATGAAATGAATATTTCATCGGTCACTTGATATATCATCATAGTGTAACATTATCACTATTAAACTTGTATGCTTTTCTTTTTAAGTTCGCATGCATGTTTATTGCTCGTAGACATTGCATAGATATAAACGATATGCTTGCATTAGCATAAATGTCTCATATGCACTAAAAAATTACCTATCTTCATTATATTAAACGAAGAAGTACTCCTCATCAGACTCCCTAAATTCATTTATAGAGCAATAAAGCAACTCGCATATATGAGTCAAGTATATAGTTGGGCCAAGGTTTGAGGTGCTGCATTTAGGAGTTAGATTTGAGGGTTACATTTGGAGGTACTGTACATTTAAGGAGTCTTACTACAGTACTATCAGTGTTAACTTCGTGTAATATCATTACAGCATAACTTAAATTACAAGTATTTATATAATTGTAAAGATTAAAAGTTAGATTAGTGCATATTTTCATTATCTTAGAATTAAATAGATTTATGACTGACATACGTACGTATAAATTATTTAAAGCAACTTCACTCAAAGAAATTCGTATCCAAAATTACTGGAAACTAATTATTTATTTGCTGCCATTAAAAAATTGATTTATATAATAATCTCAAAAGTTAGATGCCTTATAAATTCATTTAACCATAATAAATCAACCAAATAAGACTACCTAATATAAAAATTCCCAATGAGACCCATTTATCAACAAAAAGACAATTAGTATGACAATATAAATAAAAATGGTGCTGTCTAATTATAATATTGAACAAAATAGGATTCTACAAGTTACCCGTGCTGGCACTTGCAGAGCATAAACAAAAATAGTAGTAAATAGCCAAAGATAGTAATAATTAACATGCAGTAATATGGCTTCAGTTAATATAGGATAGAATAATATTAGAAGTACGTAAAGTTTCACCTTTGTTAATAATGAATTTGTGCGTCTATAGAATTTCTTAATTTTATTTGTCGATAATTATTCATAAATTAACCAAGTAACAATAAATTATCTAATTATTACATAAAAAATTAGCTAATTCTGTAATTACTGAATTACGTACGTACATGGATGTTTTCACTCCGTAAAACACAGGATTCTTCCAATAGCTATGCTTCTTTAGACAATACAAATCAATTTATTCTACTAACAATACTCAATTTGTCAAAAAACAAATTCTGAACTAATTCTAATTAATAAACAATTATACATACCCAAAAACGTACTAATAGTCAGCACAAAAGTACGACATTTTATCACAAAACATGATTTATTAAGATGCAATTTATCAAATAAGTCCTAAAATACATATAGTCAATACATAATGATTGACTATTTTATTAGGTTTTGTACCGGATTATTAAATTACCATATTTAACGATCTAGCATAATACGTATCAAAATATTTCAAATAAGTTGAGAGAAGAGTAGCTGTGTTTCTATTGTTTGATGCATGCTTAACCCTGAAGGTTATAAATCAATGGAATTAAAAAAAAAAGATATGTATTTTTTGGATAAATGACGACAACAATAAGCCATACAAATTAACAATTCTAATTTATGTAACGTAAAATGATCTCTCGCGATATAATTGACTGCTTTATAATCAATTGATTAATAATATATTTACTAAAAGGTTAACCTATATTGCAAAATATACCATAAAATTTTAAAGTGACGCTTTTTTGTGTTATAAAATCCCTTTTAAAGATTCTATATTAGGAATTCTATATATAAACTAATCAAGTTGTTATCGTTATGCGAACAAAAATTATAGTTTTGGAAATTTCTTCATTTTATGCGAGTTATTATGTAATTGTACTTTTTCGACATGAAAAACGTTTAACATTAGTTTCAGAAAAATTTTATGACATTCATGTAAAAGGTTAAGGATAATCCTACAGTAAATATATTTAGTAAATACGTATGAACCTCTGTATTCATATTTAATTTGATTATTTTTTATATCCCTGTAATTTTAAATGCTTTCAAGAGTTTAGTAAAAATATCTCGATAACTACCTAATCAAATTCGATAAAAATTTTTCATTTTGATTCTACAAATTAGTAGGAATAAAGTAAAAAAAAATCAATCGAATTTGGTTAGTCAGTTGTCGAGATATCTTAGCTCAAAATTTTAATCCATTTTAAAATTTCAGGGGGTATAAAAAACTAGGGGTAAAAAAAAAATTGAACTTTAAGAAATTAAAAAATGTAAAACACATAGTCTTTCAAAAATAGTAACGGAAAGCTTATCTCATATGATCTTTTTTTGATCCGCATATATAGCAGTGCCTCAATTCTCCTATTTCGTTATCAATTCATTTCGAACTTGATCTAGATTTATTTATATCACTAAATAATGTCCACACCTTCAAGACATTCTATAGATGATTCTGAAAGGACAGTTGTTTTTGCAAACAATTCAACTGAAATTATTATAAATGACCAAGAAAAAAGACTAGTACAAAAGCTTGATATAAGAATTCTTCCTTTACTTACGCTTCTTTATACTCTCAGCTTTTTGGATAGGTATATATTTTTTAACTTGTAACCTTTATAATATAATAATCAATTTTATTGTTATTACTTTAGGGTTAATATTGGAAACGCGAAACTAGCCAATTTGGAAAGAGATCTTAATTTAACTGGGAATGAATATAATTGGTCTTTAGGCATATTCTTTTTGTAAGCTTTTCTTTACTGAAACTTGCAAATTAACTATTCTGAATATTGCTAATATATAGTAATAGTTAGTGCTCTGTAAAATCAAATCAAAGTTTGAAATACTCTTGGTTTGAAACTCAAACTTTGATTTGCTTTGTGGAGCCCTAATAATAATAAAATAATTATATAGTAACTTTGAAACTAAAAAAAATAATAGTAGTAGCTATATTGCTAATATATGGTAAATATAAATGCTACTACTAAGTAATTATGTGCTATTCCGAACAGTCCGTTCTTATATGTAAAAAAAAATCAAAAAGTTCAATTCTCAAAGAGTTACTATGTCGCTAATCCGAACCTTCTAATAAAATTTTGTGTTCGGCTTTTACAGAGTTTGGATTATATCCAGGTTCGGATTTGAGAGTTGACCGTAGTTACTTTTAGAGTTAATTGCAAATAGTATTAAAATTGCTAATTCGCAAGTTTTAATATAGTTTCTTGATAAATTAATTGCTTTTTTATAATTTAATTTTTGTCCCTTTACTTTGCAGAGGCTATGTAATATTCGAAGTGCCATCTAATATCATTTTAATCAAGACCAAACCTTCAATTTGGAGTTAGTTTCATATATATTATATAATTATTTATGAATTATCTGTAGTGTAGAATTTTATTCTCATCATTAACTCCTTTTTATAGTTTCAACGCTTATGGTCATGTGGGGTGCCATAATGATAGGTATGGCATTCGTAAGTATTAAAGATACATTAGTACTAATCTATGTTAATTAATACACGTAACCATTATCAAGCCTACAACCTACTGCTATACTGCAATTAATTTCAATTTGTGATTTAAAATCAATTATTTTTCGATGTTTTTAAAGGTAAAAAATTTTTCTCAATTGATGGCCACAAGATTTTTATTGGGTGCTTTTGAATCTGGCCTTTTTCCTGGTGTCATCTTTTATATTACAAAATGGTATAAGAAATCCGAACGAAATTATCGAATTAGTTTATTTTTTGCTGGTGCCACAATTGCTGGTGCATTTAATGGTCTTTTAGCATTTTCGATCACAAATTTAAATGGTAAACTTGGTTTAAATGGTTGGCAATGGGTAAATATTGATGTTTATTTTATAAAATTCTCTGATTTTTTTTTGGTTTTGTTCTTGATTACTATTATTATTATTGTTATTATTATTATTAAATCACTTCTTAATCACAGTTATTCATTATTGATGGAGTGGTGACAGTTTTAGTCGCGTCTGCCTCTTTCTTTTTAATCACTGATTATGCGGAGACCGCTACTTGGCTTACAGAAGACGAGCGAAAGCTGGCCGTTGACCGATTACGATCTGATACGGGGCATGTCCATACCACTCATTTCGATAAACATCAAATTTTCCAAGCTTTTAAAGATTTGGTAATGTTTATAGAAAAAATATTTCTACTTAATTTATATGAATTAACCCTATTTAATTTATGTTATTATTTAGAAAATCTACATATTCATGTTTTTATATTTTTGTTTGCTTGTTACTTTATATTCTTTCTCTTTTTTCATTCCAACAATCGTAAATGGTCTAGGATTTGATACTGGTAATATTTATTTAACGACTTTTTTTATCTGATTTATATTGTAATCAATATATAATCTATTAATTTTGACCTGACTATTTTCCTAACTATTTCCTTGACTATTTTGCTATCGGTTTGATTAGTTATTTCTCAACTTCTTTCCACTCCTCCATTTATCTTTGGATGTATTTCATCTGTCACGATAGCAAAATTATCTGATCATTATGGAATTCGTAGTCCATATTTGATATCTGGTTTATTAATATCGATAATTGGATACACATTACTCATTATACATAGCAACAGTATTGCTTGTAAGTTTTATTTGTCAATTTAATTCGAAAACAAAAAAATATATTTCTGCACTATAGTAATCTTTTTGTACTTTTAGTGAAATATACTGGTGTTTGTATTGTTGGATTGGGTATATTTGCATGTATCCCTATATCACTTACATGGTAATATCCTCTAATATATATTTTTTAACACTTGAATCATTTATACTCCATATTAACTAACGCTAACATCTGTCTAAAAATTCATTAAAAAAAATTAACGTAAAAAGGTTAACGAATAACCTAGCAGGTGACTCAAAATGTGCCGTAGGAAGTGCGATGGTGATAGCCTGGGGTAATATTGGTGGTGTAGTAAGTGCACAAATATACAAATCTAGTGATGCACCAACTTATTTAACTGGTCATTCTGTTGCGTTATCACTTTTGGTTTTCGCCGTAATTTTATCAATAATTCAATACTTCTTTTTAAATAGAATTAATAAATGTAAACTTAAAAATCCTGAAAAATTTTTAAAAGGATCTAATGGGGATGATGTTACTCATTTGGGTGATTCACATCCTTCATTTATTTATAGCTTGTAGAGTTACTATAGTCTTTTACAATCTTAATTTATAAAAATTTCTTGTTTAGATTTATAATGTATTTATATATACTTGATTTAATAAATATTGCTGAGATTGTTAATGCTATGGTTTTAGTAATGACAAGAAATTAAAAAATTTTTTTTTGAGGTATAATTTTTTTTTAGAGTTATATTTATTAGGTTAAATAGAGACGCCAAATCTCATTATTATTCGCGATAATTAAATTTTAGATCCTTGTTATAGATATAAAATTCTAATGATTTACGCAGAACGATTCTGCCATTATTATTATTATTATTATTATTGTTGTTACTGTTATATATATATTTAATGTAGTGTTAATTGCAGCTCACTAAAACAGGAGGAACCGTCGATGTTACACGACTGATCCTTCACACATATCGATATACGTAGAAAACATTTTATTATAATAAAAATGGGTGTTGTAAAATATTTTTTTATATAGCACACTGGTGAAGGATCAGTCGTGTAACATCGACGGTTCCTCCTGATCTCCAATCACGTGAGATGGTTCAATTTTCTCGTGATAGTGATTAGCCAATAAAATCGTATTACGAATTAGTATAAACTTATAATACGAACGGTACGTGCATTTTTTTTTTATATATTCGATATAACGAACACTATTTGTATAACGAAGATATTTATATTTAAATTAGTCTCAATACAACGAAATCACCAATATAACGAAGAACAGCCTCCAGCTTTAGAGCTTCATTAAATACCCTAAAAAGCGTTAATTCTAATTTTTACAGCATATTACGTACAAGTAAATGCCCTAACGAATGTTAATTCTAACTAATCCAAATATTTTGTTTGTCAATACAGAGAGTAAGTTCTCTATAGAATTTTTTTTTTTTACAGCATATCACGTATAAGTAAATACTCTAATGAATGTTAATTCTAACTAATTCAAGTACTTTGACTGTTAATGCAATGAGTAAGTTTTTTTTTTTTTTACAGCATATAACATACAAGTATTTACCATAATGAACGTTAAGTCTTTATAGTTTTTTTTTACAGTATATCATGTACAGGTAAATATTAGTAATATGGGTTGATGAAAAAATCGTGAGCTGAGATCAAACCTAAAAAACTCAGGCTGGTCAACCAGGCTGATTTTTTATTATTGTAATTTTTTTGATCAGAACCAGTTAACATAACTATATTAAAAATGCAAAAGGTCATAAAGTAGTTACTTTTTGAATCTAGTGATGTTAAATTATTTAATTTTTACTCAGGTTGTCCTTGAGAAAATTTCAACATATTAGTATTTAACGTTGATCGATTATCTATATCTAATTTATTTTCTAAAAAAAAATGATAATAAATAAATTTGTGTAACTACTACTATAACAAAAAACCAAAACCATCTTATGATATTTTTTTGGCTTATAAAATTTTTATAACTTATAATATTTTTAAAATGAGTAATAATCTTCAATAAAATAATCTGACAAAATCCAAGCATCTATAAATAACTTAATAATACCTTCCATTAAATGAAAGAATACCTTCGATAGAGTAGATTATTAAGTTAAACACATTAATGTTATAATTAATTTTGATTTATGATATACAATTCGATAACTAACATTTATATTGGAAGCCAACTACGTACTTGGATCTGGTAACAGTAGCATTCTGAACCAGTTTTATTACATTAAACTATTTTTAACATCAAAAAATGAACCTGGATCAATTCTCTTACTAACCGAATTTTAACCGTAATAGATAATCTTAAACTCACTGACAAATCTACTTGAGTAAGAGATGCGATCAAAAACTATAGTAAATCACACAAATTACTGAAGTGAATGTATATACTTTGATCAATAAATTATAAACGTTTATAACAACTATGTCAAAACAATGTTAATCGTATTTAACAATAATTTACTAATTTGTATATTATAGTTACAATGATAATAATCAATGGGCTTTAATTTAGTACGCAATTATACTTTTTCAAGACCCGTTAATATAAATATAAATACATAAATGTTTATTCGGAAGTACGCAAGAAAAACTGCATCAAACTAAATTAAATCTGATACTTAATGCACTAGTGCAATCGATACACTGAATCATTTCTAACTCCCCTTAAGCAACCCAAGCGCCTAGTATGATTTTTTAATGATTTATTTTTAATAGTTAAATTTATGATCACTATAAATATGAAGTTTTTTTTGCAACAGCTTTAAAATTAAATATTTATTGTGGAGAATTTCAAACTTTAAATCAGACCGACAACTATACTTTATTGTATAATATCAATAGCTTATGACTATCATTACCTTAAACGAAAATGCAGATGTATAGAAATCATATGATCCACAAGCGCTAATGTTATTACCGGAGCAATGTTGTTGATCAAAAAAAACTACACAACTATTGTTCTTAATGACAGTTGAACTAATTTGATCCTTACATTCATCAGGAATATTATAGCAGCACCAAGGCTCAAGTGTGATTGTCAACGTACCTCCCTCAAAGAAAGCATGTTGGTAGAGAGTTAATTCAACATAGGATTGCGCATTAGAGTTATTTAACAAAATACCCCTACAAATTGAGCAAGAATAAGATATATTTTATTAAATAAAAGAGGCCAATTAAAAGTTTGATAAATTGCAATACCATAAAAATAACAGTAGTAGGAAATTTGAAAATTTTTTGAAAAGATTCATTTTCAGATTAGAGAAATAACGTCACAGGTGAATTTAACGTACAACGATAAGTTGTTTCTTTATAAATTGTAGTGTTTTTTATGTGTTTCTTCTTTGCATATAAGAATCGTAACCAACCTTAAATTATCCTTTAAATAACTTTTAGACTAATAGAATGAGGTATAACCAACTGAAACTATAAAAGATCTCTTATATACCGTCACTCATCTTTGTTTTATATGACTCATCTCTTCAGCCAACAAGCCTCTTGAATCATATAAGCCTTCAAGTTTTATTTCTTGAAGTATGGCTTGTTATTATTTTCGGAAATATCATTTTTTATTTGTACTAATAACAACAAAACTCATTTTTTGAATATATAGACAGCCGTTAATAGAAATAAGGCCATTTGAAGTTGAATTTTCGATTAACATCACTTTTAGAACTCTTGGAAGGATGGGGGATAAAATGAAACGAACATATAAAAATTTAAAAAATATGAGTCAATTTGATTGGTCGATGTAAATCATATGATTGGTGAGAGTTATCCAGCGTTTTCATTGGTTGTTCATTTTCGGGAAACTTCAGCTGAGAAGAGATGTTAACCAAAAAATCAACTTCGAACGGCCAAAGGCAGATTGACATTTGAAAAAAGAATTTTACCATAACTTTCATAGCTCATATCTCGATGGATTTTGATACTATATTGATGATTTAATATTCAAAAGAAAGCTTAGATCGTAAGCTTTCTTTTGACTATTAAATCATCAAGATAGCATTAAAATCCATTGAGATATGGGCTATGAAAGTTAAAGTAAATTTCTTTTTCAAAGCCTTATTTCTATTGACGGCTGCCCATATAAAAATCAAATGATAGTGACTACGTGAGTGCCACCAAGAGAAAACCTGCAATTGTTGATTTTCCAAAACTTCACTTACAGAAACAAGCTTACAGTATCAGATTCTATAAGCCCTTTCCTGAAAGTGAGGCACCACTCATAATTTTTTAATTATACATATTTAAAATTTTATGCATACCTATAGTTGTTAGGCAAAATTATTTTGTGTAAATGGCAAAAGACAAAATCTAAACCTGGCGAAAGATAAAAGACAAATTCCCGGAGAAATGGTAAAATTCCTGGCAAAATTTAAAACCTCTGGTGAAATTCGAAACCACTGGCGAAAGGCGAAGCCCCTGGTGAAAGACAAAATATAAGACTCTTTAAAAGGCTGAGATATTATAATAAATGAAAAAATTTTTGCATCATTGAATGTTAAACACAATATGTGGCTTATTTGAAGAAAATGTGCAAAGCAATAAGGAGCTAAGTTTTTGTTTATATTTGAGCTTTTGAATTTATAATTAAATTGACTCAGCCTTTTAACTTAAAGTCTGAAATCTTGTTGCCTTTTAGTAGTTTGCATCGTGTCTTTTCATTCCTTGTCATTTTGGGTATTATTGCTTTTCTCATGCGTTACAGAGGCCCACTACTGAATATTCTTATGATCGGCCAAGTTATACTGATGATCCTAACAATCCTTGGTACCTTGTTGCGATATATCATCTGATGGTACTATTGGCGGATCATCCCTAGATGAAATACCAACTTATTTGCTATATTTGACACTGCAATTAATGCAGTCTATTTTATGTTAACAGGTTTTAGATGTATTATAAAGGCGTTAATATGAAAATGATTATTAATTTGTTACATTATTAGGTGGTTTGACCATGGATTTTAAGAAAAAATTGAGCATTGGTGGTTTTGTTGATTATATTTTCATTTTTTACAAAAATTTACTTGATGAATTTATTTTTTGGATTGCAATTGATAAAACAAATAATGATGAATCTTTCTTGCAACTGAGAGGAGAGGTAAATTATTTAATATATTTAATTCAGTAAGATTATAAATTAATCATATAGCTTTAATACTTAGATATTATCAGAAATCGAACTTTTCTGGATGCTACCTTATCAAAGAAGAAAGAAAAAATTGGTTTCCGGAGATTTTGTAATTACATTTTATATTGTTCGATTAACTATAAATTATATGATTAATTTTTCTTTTTTAAGATATTATGAAGCTTCATTGATGAACTTAAAAAAATATGTTAAGAGAGTAAAATATGAAGATTATAATGAATATAACAGCCATATTTGTCTTCGCCATTCTTAAAATTACTGAATGTGATTAAGTCAAATTACTTCACTGCAACGAGATTGAAAAATAAAAATGTATTTTAAATAGTTATAGTCCATACATATGTGTGAATTTATAACCTAGAGAAGTTTTCTCCAAGTTAGCT